GTATTGTATTTAGAAGCAAATCTCTGCATTCACTATAAAAGGTCTCTACAACAGTATGTCTGCCTCTACAAGGGAGAGCCATTGGCTATATTTACTTGATTTAAGGATCAAGGGATTGATTTGTTGATTCTATTTTTTGTTTTTCACCCAAGCGCCACTTGGCCTGAAATACTTTGACATCAATCAATAATAAGATCCACGCCATCGACCGAAATATTGAAAAAAATGATTAATATGCTCACTCTGAGATGGTATTTATTGATTTCTTCTTTTTTGCATCCCTTGCTGCAACCAAGGCTACTTTAGTAAATAAACACTAACGAAATAACTACAACTAAAATTGAAAAAATAATTCTAATATAATAAAAATTAAAATGCTTTAAAAAAACAAAAAGTAAATGAAACTACATTCTATTTTTGTTTAATTTTTACGATACAACATATGGTACACAATGACAACTCATTGAAAAAAAATTAAAGCTAATACTAAAACGAAGTGTTTTTGAAAAATCTAAAACTCCTAAAAACTAACAGAGCGGCCCTGAAAACGAATTAAAACTATCTACATTTTAAAAAAACATAACTCAAAATGAAATAAAAACTGCCTAGAATTAATTCCTGTAATAAACAAACTGTAATAATCCTGGCTGCCCCACACAGCCGTAGCTGGTGACTGCCTTCTCGATGGAATTGAAAATGCAATATTGCAAGTCTCACATCACCAATATTTCTACAGAAAATAAGAAAAAGCAACTGTAAACAAAAGTGGCAGCGGTTGCACCACTTGAACGTAATGTTGCATTTGAGTGGTCGCTGAGGAAATGTTTTGACAAGCAGTTCATTGTCCATGTGGGTTGTAATAACAGAGGAATATGACAAGAGAACATTTGGGGAAACATTTGTGAGATTTGTAGAGCTGACTATGGTTGACATTGGTATGTGCACACTTCCCTGTATATATGTGTTTATTTGCACAGCACATCTAAACAAAAGAGTGAGCGGGGAGGCCACTTCAGCCTGACAAAGGTCACATTTCCTAGCGCAGGAAAACTGCTTCCTGGCCCTCCAGAGCAGCTCACCGAGGAATAAGGCTGAATCATGTTGCAACTTGACAGGGTTCCTATACAAATGAGATTTCATAATTTCCAAACTTTTTCCAGACTGTAATTTTCAGACTTGACTGTAAAAAAATTCAAACAAACTACAGAGGGCAGGTGCCTCTGCATCAAGTCTCGAGAATGGATCGGAATTGGGACTAACGTTCACAGAATGTCCTGGAATTGTTTGCATTTTACATTTCCGGTGCCTTGTCCGCTGAAGAAGTTGCTGACACCAACGAAGATGAAGTGCATATACTGTATGCGCGTGACGTGCAGGTGCACCCGGCGCAGATCACGAGTGTGGCTTAACTTTGTTGAAGAGTCGCCTCAGTGCAACAAAAGATGATTTTGTGTCAAGGCGACAGCATGACGTGTATAACTTTATAACAGAGTGCCACGTCTGACGAGCCTGGTGCTCCCTCCTACTGCAAGCCTCAGCCTCCATGGCGCCGAACTTCAGTGTAATTATAATTATATTATAATCGGGTGAGTTAAACAACAACATTAACAACAACTAAACTGTGGGTCAACTCAAAAGCACATAGCCAGCTAACATGAGCATATGTAAAGTATTTTCTATAGGACGCAAGCGTGGGTTGTCGCCTGCACGATGTGTCTAACACATAATGTAGCTGCTGCTAATCTGAACTAGGTTACCAATCTCATAAGGCCTTTCTGGTACTTCCGGGCACCCGTGTTTTGAAGCGGTTTTACTTCAGAGAATCCCTACCAACTGTCAACGTTTTGGGGATTTTTTTTTGTGATTGTAAGCGTTGTGGTTGCGTTAATTCATCAAGACGTCAAGAAGAGGAGAGAGGACAGTACATCAAGCTATCACTGCTGTGTGCCAGTCCATCCAGGTTCATGGTCTAACCACGCTTTGATGAGCAATGGAGGCAGTGGCTTGTTAATATTTGCAGGGATAAATTTGTAGTTACAGCATCAAAGACTGTTCCCGGCATTTTTCTTCCTGCTGATGTTGTAATGCGGCCGTCAACCCTACAAGGGCCGTCATTCTGACAGTTCTCAAACTTTATTGTGTTGTTACTCTGTTCACAAAGATTAATGATGTTGCCGGCCTTTTAACTTTCCTTGTGTTTGTATGTATATTATTCCCATGCCACCATTTTACTGTATTGAAAAACACAATAATAATTAGGAGTCATTTTTCCTATGCTGGGTTGTCATAGTAACCACTTTGCAGTGGTGACATTGATTTAAAAAAAAATAAAAACACACCATGGTCAATTAAAAAAAAAAAGTTATACAGTTGAGGAAGCATTACATAGGTTTCAAAATATTGACGAGGCTGAGTCTAAGGATGATTGAGATGCCGAGTCCGAGCAAGAGCAGACTCTTCCCAGTGAACAACGGCCGCACTGCAACACGCTTCAAGGTATTATTAGCTTAGAGTAAAATATTGACTATTTGATGTGACAACGGGGGGCAATAAACTCTGTCTGAAGTTACACCACATAAACTGCACCCGTGTGACACAGAGGGGGACGGACAATACTGACCAAGTTTGGTGATGATGGACAGTTTAAACCAGGAGATGAGAATCATCTTGCAGAGTGGGAGGGAAGAGGGGCACACACAGAACGAGCGACGGACACATGCAGCCGCTGCTGCTTCAACAGCACACACGCAAGAAATAAACTTCTGTGTAAGCTGTCATGTATGGACAATACACATATTGTCTTTTATAACATTACGTGACCATATTTATAATTTCAAAATTACCAGTGGATAAAATAACACAACTTGTTGAAGAATATCGTCGGGAATATACCCAGCACATTGTCATGTAATGCATCATTGCATAACTTTCGTCATGTGCGGGACTGAGTGTTTTTTGTTTTGTTTTGTTTTTTCCAAGCCACACAACACATCCATCCACATTCTGAACCGTTTAACCTTACAACGGTCATGCATGGACAAACTGATGCATAACAACACAGGCGTTGATGCAGTTACCACACGCACGGACGCAACACAATTCATACGCAACAAACACTTCTGTTGTAGCATATAATTATTTTTCATTAAAGCACAGTTGCAGCACATTGTGAATTTTACTATTTTTAATTTGTTGCTGATTTGTAAATGTTGATGGCTGTCAGTTCTAAAAAATAAAAAACTCGGCTTTCCACATCCTTTTCAATCTATATTTTATTTTTTTATTTTACAAAATGCAAAGTTTTTACTGAACCCATAGTTATGTTTTTGGTTAGATTACATTTGGTTTTGTTCCCATTGCCCTTTTTGTCTCCACCTGTTCTTGTCATCCGTGTCTCTTGTGTTTAACCAATCAGCTCCCTCAATGTGACCCCTTTGTGTCTTTTCCAGGTGTTTCTTATTGTCTCGTCACTTTGCTTGTATTTAGTTCCCTGGGTTCTGCCAGTCTTTGATGGATCATTGTGAGTGTCTGTGTTCCTGTCATGTTTTGTTTCTATCCTCGGTTTTTGCTTCTTTGTTTCCTTGTTGTTTTGAGGGCTTTGTTTGAGTACTTCAGTTAGTTTTTTCCAGTGTGCTTGTGTTTGTATTTTTGTTAAATACATCTTGGTCAGTCCTCCCTGCCTCTCTGCTTTGTGGGGTCCTCCAACTACCATCAGCTCCATCACCATAAATATTGAAAATGTTACCTGGGGGGTCAGACTGTATATGCCTATACCTTGGATAATTAATGATGGCAGAATGTCCCTGATTGTCTGCAGTCATGTCTTATTTCGCAAATCAATGACATCCATGATCGAACACCAAATTATGACATTTAAGCCGATCACCAATTTCGCAGAAAATGTACAATATCTGCTGATCCGAATCAGCCAATCAGCTCTCTGTAGTCTACTTTCCATACTTGCTATTCAAAATTTGTTCATCTACCAATTAAGTTACTTCCACATCCCCAAACATATATTTCCCAGCATTAGTTACGTTTTGCTTCCTTTATTTGTAAAGATGCACCACTTTAAAAATCCAATTTCCTCAGTACCTGGAAGCTGCAAAAAGCAACACATTGACAAATGCAAATACAGAACACAACCCTTAACCATTCCCTACTTAGAGGAAGAAAAGCCCCTTCTGACTGCACACAAGAAAACTCCAAACTAAATAAATTACAGTAAGCAAAATGGTAGTATTAATCAACTGAACTCGCAGTGCAGACTGAGTGCTTGGCTTTAATTTGTCAATGGCCATTTTCATATGTACGGTACTTTCACACTCTGAATGCACTCCTCAAATCTCCAAGAAATGAAACTGTCTATTACTGGAGCAATCAGTCAGTAGTTCGGCAGTGAGTCAGTGCACCTGCAGCAGGGCAAGGAACATTATCAACCCCCCACCCCAAGCGTAAGAAGTGCTATTTCATCAACGGGAGAGCACGCAGGACTATTAAGGAAGTGTTCTCAGAGTTGCAATCAAAAGGCAACATCCAAATTTGAATAACTTTCAGAATGATGCAGAAAATATGGTATTAGCTGACAAAGGCGACTGGGAGTTTGCTGCTATGGGGGCGCCTGCCATTTTGTTTGCTGATTTTATAATAAAATCGCTGAATTACAAAGTTCAAAGATAATGAAAATTGCTATCAGCCTTGTAGTAGCGTGTGGAGAAAAGAACAATGATGTACAGTATGCATTTATTTGAAAAAAAAAATGAAATAAGCACAGTTAAAAATAATTTCTATTTGCAATTTGTTTATTTTTCCTATAAAAGTGTATCGCTGTAACTTTAAGGCTTTATACTGTGGCAGGGTATCAAACGGAATGAAATTGATCACGTACCGTTGACGTACCATTTTTAACTCCTTTGTTTCTAGTTTCTATTCCACAAAGTGTCGTAACGTCGCAACCCTCACTCACTACTGCTGAGTTGCATAGGTTTCACATTACTTACAGTGAGAAGGTTCTGTTAGGTAAAAAGCTTGGGTGTAGTGTCTCCATCAGGTCCACATCATCACACACAACTTTGACTCGGACGTGCTGCCTGCTGAGGTCTTTGGACCTCTCGGCCAAACACTGACAGCTGTCCACGATCAGGTCCGGACAGTTTCTGTTGGCATCGGTGGACCCCCACAGCCCGACCATGGCGCATAGTAAAGTCAAAATCCTCATGATGGACTGTGCTTGTTCTCACGCTCATCCGCGTCAAGTGATGTCCTCCCAGCTTGTAGTCCAGGTCCAAACCATTTCACATGGGCTCGGTTTCAAGTCCAGCCTGTGAAGCCGCACTCACGCCGTCATATCCACAAGCAGCAAATTACTGGCGCAGCTTTTTTTTGGTCAAGCGTAAATCTATGGGTGACTTGCGTTCCATTCTTCCCATTCAACTTCTAATGTTCTTTTCTGCCGTGCCATCGAACGACGCGCTCCAAAAGTCGAGACAAACTTTGCTGCACATCAACCCTCACAGTTTAATGACACATTTTAAGTCAACAAAGCCTCTCTAATTATTCTCTAAATAGTTTTGTCAGAGCTGCGACCGGCCGCTGTCACCAGCCTTGGACTTGTTGCCTTTCGCGTGCACAAAGTCCCTCCCAGCGAGCCTCCTGGGCTTCCGCGTGGGTTCTGAACTTTTCCGAATCCAGAAGTCACATGACATGTCATCTGTCGTCAATACATAACAGGGTGGATGCACTGTTTACATTTATTTTAACACTCACACTCAAACAATGACCACAATATTAAACAACAATATTGAGCTGCAACGTTTCATTCTCACCTCACACGGCTCACACGCCACATGACTAAGTTTTGTTTTGAGGAATAATGCCGAATTTCTCTTGATTTGCATGTCGGATTTGCAACTACAAGACATATTTTGTTGAGGTTAATGCTGCCAAATGAGGGGCTTTCAGTCGTTATTAAATCCAAAGGTTCACATACTTTTCCCACCATCCATTTACATGTTTAACTTTTGTGGTCAATAAAAACACAGAAACTTACACAAATTGTGTGGCATTAATATGAAAATTGTGTTGTCTAATGATGTGACTTAAATGAAGGTCAGATAAATTTTCATGGCCCTTTACACAAAAATCGGGGATTCCGATGTGTTCCCATGATTTTCCTGTTCCCTCTATTAAATCGACTGTAAATTGCAGATGAGCTTCACTTTTTCAGTTGAACTACGGAAACAAAGTCATACTGAGATCAGAAATCTGAAGGAAGAGGGATAATTGTTGTCCGAAATATATGGAGCCCCCCTTGTGCCAAGGTATGGCAAAAATAATTATAATAATATAATCATAAATTCTCTTCAATAATTGAAGGATACAGGTTTCTAAACAAAGGGTACAGTGTAGCAAACTGATGGTATGGATTACTAAATTGAGAGAACAGATTATCAATGGCTATTATTCTGATCATACCTGACACATCGGGGGCTGCATACAAATCCAGGACAGTGAGGTGTGTGTGTCTGTGTGTGTGTGTGTGTGTGTGTGTGTGTGTGTGTGTGTGTGTGTGTGTGTGTGTGTGTGTGTGTGTGTGTGTGTGAGACTGACTCAACACAAATTATTGACATGACAGATTGTTCTGTACACAAAACATTGGGATATGTTTTGCTCATGCTCATTTTATTTTATTTTTTTGCATTTATCAAGTTTTGTTTTTAAGAAGAGGATGCAGAGTTTAAACACAGTATACCTTAATGTAGAACCTTGCCTGTCCTTTGGAACCGAATTAAGATAGTTGTGTTCCCCAGGGTACGATGCTTAAGCACAGCTTATATGTGAGAATTCCCCCCTCATTATGTACGTTGGTCAGATCAGACAACAAAAGATCATTTGAGTCCACGCTCATTGGCCTGGCAAATGCGGTGAATGTTTTCAAATCATCAGTGTGACAGGTAAAAAAAACCTTTTTATTCTCCTGACATGGGTAAACTACACAGGGACCAACACATCCTGTGCTTATCCACACTTTCAGGCCTGGTTCCCTTCACATTGTGCTCGCTTGACGTCTCCCATGGCTGCCGCTCATGCATTTTCACAGATGCAGTTGTTGTGTAGCTGTAAGTGCACATGCGGATTTTCCATGGGGACCAATGGGAACGTCACCTGGTGTGTCTGGAATTGCAGTTTTTGGTGATCCACCGTGGAGCCTTCCTTTGGTTGTGATCCACAGCTGTTCACTGAGTTACTTGAATAGTCATTACAGAAAACAGCCTCACCTCTGATAAGCCCCTTTGGATAGATAATCGTGATTCATGAATTCAATTAAATTAACCTAGGAAGCAATTAAAGGCAGCTCATATAAATATACAGTCTGTGGCCTACGAAACAACACTACATTGCAACAGTTTTAATTTAAATGGCTGAAAATACAGAACAAACAGAACATATACAGCACAGGTGACAAAGTCAAGGCCCGGGGGCCAGATCTGGTCCGCCACATCATTTTATGTGGCCCGCGAAAGTAAATCAAGCATGTCAAGTTCCATGATGCTTGCTAAAGTCTGAAGCAAAATTTCTACTTGTCATATGTAATCCACAATAACAGTCGTTATTCTTGACTTCTGATTTTAAAGCCAGCTATCCATTAATTTGTTGTGCGCTGTGTATGTAACATGTGGAGGTGATTAAACATTTATATGGTTTCCCAAAATTCATAACGGCCCTCCAAGTGAATCCGTAACTACAATGTGGGCCGCAACAAAAATGAGTTTGACACCCTTGATATACAGTCTTATTTTTGTTTGTCAGAGGCAAAATTGATCATGGACTTACCATAGAGAAGTTGTCTCAGTCCTTTGCTACTCTCAATATTTGTAAAAGAACAATCATTAACATAAAGAAATAGTATAAAAGTATATTCGTTCATTCATTCATTTTCCAAACCGCTTATCCTCACGAGGGTCGTGGATGTGCTGGAGCCTATCCAAGTTATCTTTGGACATGAGGCGAGGTACACCCTGAAGTGGTCAGCAGCCAATCACAGTGCACAAATTAACAAACAACATTTGCACCTATGGGCACTTTAGAGTCCTCAATTAAGCTACCATGCATGTTCTTTGGATGTGTGAGGAAACCAGAGTACAAGGAGAAAACCCACGCAGGCACAAGGAAATCATGCAAACTCCACACAGGAAGGCCAGACCCAGTATTCAAACCTGCGACCTCTGCACTGTCAGGTGGATGTGCCAAGCTGATGGACACCGTGCCGCCCGATAGTAAATTATCATGGGCTAAACACACAGATAAAATGATCCATAAAATGAATAGAAATCTTTTAATTCAAAGGAGCTGCTCTAATTTTTTATTTAAAAATGGAGGGAAAACGTCATCTGAAGTCTTGCATGAACACATTTACACTATTGCTCAGAGGTTTTATCAACCGCTGCTGTAATATACAGTCAGTGTAAAGAAAATGAAAATTGCTTGCTGTTTACTTCATTGTCGATAAGAAGAAATGTGAGTTGAATTCATGACTGTCTCGGATGGTTGAAAGCAGAGGACTGATTTACTACCTAATTTTTCAAATTTTTATTGAAAACAATAATGACTAAATTGCCCCAGGTATTACATAAGCACTTGTCAGTTCGAATGAACACATATACAGCACCAGGTATGGTACTAAAGGCAGAGTTACTTTACCTAAGGTGAAAACAATTAAACTTGATAATATGTAATGTATAACCTTTGGTGTTATGGAATCCTCTATCCAGATTTATCAATTATAAAAACAAATCTCAATTCAACTCGGATAGAACACTTACAACAGCCTCAATTGTAACAGAGCGCTATAGTGTACATAAGATCAAACAAACATTAATATTTAATAAGAATAATAGATGAATACAACTTTCTTTTCTACGGTAATTATAGTATAAGAGAAGAGCTCCCCTTCACATTGGCATTTGGCAGAATCGGAGGTCCAGAGTTTGATTTCCTCTCGTTGCACAGTCCAATGTGCTGGGTGAAGTTGTAATTCATTGTTCGTCATTGAGCGATGGGAACAGGATTGACGACTCCAACGAGCAGTATGAATGACCTAGGGTGTTAAAATTGTGCTAAAGGTGTGATAACCTCAGTTAGTTGCTGCTGGAAATCAAGCTTCGATGTCAATGACAACCGTTTTCTAGAAGATTTCGATTTCAAGCACAATCGAGTGAGCAATTTCTGACTGTATGTTCATGCTGCCTTTGGTGAAACGTGAATTCTAGCCAATGTCAATTCAAAATGGTAGTCCACAGACTTACTTTCTTCAAACTCCAAATCCAATAAAGTTAGGAGGTTGTGTAAAACAGAATAAAGTGGTGGGATAGTTCGAGACCACTCTAGCAATGAAAAAACTGTTTTTCTCTGCAGAACATGTTTGCACTCACACTCATTAATGTTCACGTCTATTCATTATTACTCGCTGACAGGGATGAATTGACTTTGGCCAGCAGCAATCATCGTTCTCACTAAATATTTACCTGTTCCTCTTGATGAGGCCACAATTAGGGTGATGAGTTACCCTTTTTTTTGGGTTCTTTTTCTTTCTTTTTACCTTTTTTTTAAATCTGTGCCTTAGGGAGAAAAGCTGTCTTCATTTTAACTGAGAACGTGTTGTATTTGCACACTGTGTTGCTGACATTGTGCCACAGAAAATGAGAGCTTTAGCTTCTGGCAAACCAGACAGGTGGTCTCAGCAAACATTAACAATGGTGTGAAAATTTACAATGGTATGTGGCAATTTGTTTGTACTTTAACAATTGAGACAGAGTGGTGAGAGGTGTGTACGGTTCCCAATAGGTCAGTGCAATCAAAAACTGCAAACAGAAAATCTAGTACAGTTGGAATTAAGAGGATTATCGCTGGCCTTTCTTAACCTTTTTCTCTTTGTTTCATTTAATTTTTTTAGTTTTCAATGTTTCTAATGATTCCATCTTAGTGTTTTATTTATAGATATATATATATATTTAATATTTTTGTAAGAAAACAAGGATCCTGTCTCTTACAAACTTGACATGATTGAGAAAACTGAAATCAGTTATGGATTCCACACCCATAAATCAGTTAAAAACAGTTGTCAGACCTAATTCAACAAAAAATTGTCTTTCCCGGTGTAATTGTATTTCTGTTGGTGCAAAAAGCATTTTTTTTCTCTACATTTTGTTCAGAATACCACTGTTTTAGCAAAAAGTTTAAATAACCTCGCTGAAGTATCAGAACAACAATTTGTGGCTGCATGTTTAAGGTGTGTCAAGTTTTAAATCCCACAAGGATGACCATGCAATTAACTTATGACGTGCTGCCGAAAGGAGAAGAAGAAGAAGAAGAAGAAGTGGAGCAGAGGTCATGGGTTTGATTCCGGCTCCGGCATTCCTGTGTGGAGTTTGCATGTTCTCAATGGAGGCTGATTGCACACTCGAAATCGTCCCTTGGTGTGAGTGTGAGCGCGGATGGTTGTTCGTCTCTGTGTGCCCTGCATTTGGCTGGCAACCGGTTCAGGGTGTCCCAGGCCTACTGCCCTATGACGGCTGAGATAGGCTCCAGCACCCCCCGCGACCCTTGTGAGGATAAAGCGGATCGGAAAATGA